TCTTATGCTTCAACTAAGCACAAGTAGTGATCGTATCACAAATGAATTTTCACTGTCCGTCTCTAGCCTTTGAACCTTTGGTTTTCTTACATCGATATGTATTCGACCTCGAGTTCGCATCATCATTTCTCTAAATGGTGACTTTGTCAATAATTTCAAATTAGAATGATATTGACATATATCAATGGATTCATAATCCAATGATATTGAAAGTCCATCCCTTTGGATCTTCCGCATGCAATGTTCATTTTCATTCGAATTAATTAACATATTAGAGACAATTTATATATATAAATGGTTTAATAATTTCTATCATATAGAACTTTGAACCCATTTAGCAATCTCAAAACACATTATGACTCAATGAAGCATAGAATAACATTTATTCCTCGTTTTTGAATCTTCGATGATTAGTCATTACTAACATTGAATGGTGTTTTGATGATGGCAAGAATGAATAACATTTATTTAATTCTAGCCAATAACAAGGTAAGATGAAATATAGGTTCCACTTGTAAAGTTGCAACTTTTGCTTCCAGACTCGTAGATTCTACTTGTGAAGTAGCAACATTTGCTTCTAAACTTGTAGATTTATTTCTCCTTTAGCCATACTTCTTCATTTAGTTAAACCACATTCTCAATGAGAGAGAACTAATTAAACAAGACATTATATGTCCAAGAAGTAGCAATATGCTAAATCAATTTCTATAATATACTTCTTAAATTGGAACATTTCCATTCTTTTACCTTCCAACTATATGAGGTAGTTTATAATCAATTGGAATTGGTCCATTTAATTGGATACATTTGTTGTTGATAACAACTTTTATCATGTAAGTAGTTCTAGGTTTGAGAAGTAGCAACTTATTTGCATTTCTTGGCCTATAACTTCTTAATGCAATCCTCATATTTTCTTAAACCTTTCCCATTTGAGCCACTTAGAACACTTCTCTTAGGTTCAAAATGATGCTTTTCTTAACTACTTTAAGCACTTTTCATGATTTTGCTAAATCTATTCAATCATTATTTATAATAGAGTTTAATCAACTATTTAACTCTTATATAAAGTGGACGAAGAATAGCGTCATTTGATCAACTTTTGATCATAGAGATTTCCAATCACTTTCTTATATTCAATTATGTTGAAGATAAGAGATTTTATTGAACTTTTATACTTGTCTTTTAGAGGGTTTGTACCTCCCATCTCATTATATCCCTTGAAACACTTTTCAAAATGAAGATGTGTTGGCATTTTACTCAAAAATTTTGAATAAAACCAACCTTAGGCATGTGACATGGATTTCTAAAATTAAACTTGCCTTTTAGAACCATCTTAGCAAAATTGGAATATAGGTTTATGGATTATCTTTTAACCTTTTGAGAACGTTTCTCAACTTTATTTTCAATCGAGGATATTATATATAATAATAAAATTAGAACGACATGTTACTTAAAAGTAAACGCAAAATTCAATTATGTTTAATAAAATTTAAATTACCATAAGCGGTTTTAAAACTGGTAACTTTAAAGCATTTATTCAATTTTAATTGATCCCTATTGAATAAAATGATTCCAAGATCCTTTATTTGTGCAATGATTGATCGGACTTTGGCCCTACCATCAACCATTACATTTTCAAGATGAGTAAACTCTTTACTGATTACAACTCTTTGTAATTCTTGATTGAATAATAACCACCACATGTTTAATTATTACCCTTAGCTTCAAGGTTTTAAACTCTTTAGGTAACCTTGTTGAGTATAACCAATCAAAAGTGTAAAATTTGTTTTACCTCCACTCCCCTAAGATATAATATGACACCTTGCTTTTGCATGACCCATCATAAATATCGAAGGTTTCATCGGGTTTTTCATTGGAAAAGCAACCTCAATATTACTGGGACCTAGATTTATTATGTTGTGATTAAATAGTGAACTCTAGCGCATCATCACAAAACATCAATAAAATCTAACATGCATAAAATACCGAATGCATAAACAAGACATAGCATGGCCCCTAATCCTAAGAAACTAATAAAGCAAAAAACTCCTACTTGAACCTTCATGGATCTCATCCATCTTGCTCCTTTGGGCCTTCACTCCATGGATTTCTTGGATTAACTGCAACCTGTAATTTTACTTTATTCTATCTACTACTTAAATAAAATGAAATAAAATTACAAAAATACTTTATCGGTACGTAGACCGTACTAAGATTACAAAAATACATCACGATGCGCAGATCGTATTTAGCAATCTACTGGGCCATACTAGTCATTATATAGCAATAAACAACATCATATATTATAAAATTGTCACATAATAAATCACTCATCATGCTTTCCTAAACTACAACATCGAATGTTCACAATTAAGGAAACATGGCACCAAAATATCTCATATTTTAATTAATGCAATTAGATAATATCATATATTATTCATGACCATCAATAAAATATCATATATTCTAAATTAGTCATGAGATAGAATCAAATCTTATTTTAATCTTAAAAGATAAATCATATTTATCCTCAAAGATTATCCTAACAAAGTTAGGAAATTCTATCCTAATTACTAGCCAATCACAAAATTTTAAATCAATTATATCCAAAATTAATTATGGGATAATCACATTATTTAAATCAATCATTAACCTTTTGGAATATGCTCAGAATATCCTAACAAATCTTATCCAAAATTAACCACTTTAATTATGGATAATTACCAATTTAACAACTTTAAATATGGATAATATCAAATATAACAACTTTTGAAAGATTTGATTTTATCCTAAAATAAAAGATTTTATCCAAATAAAACCGAATTTATCTTTCAAAATAAAAGATCATATTTTCAAAATATTTTATCTCATCCAAAATAAATAATATTTATCTTGAAATATTTAAAATAAAATAATTTTTTTTGAAAAACGTGCACCAGCCACCGTGGTGTGGCCAGCCAAACCCGACCACGGTGGCCGTACACCGTGAGGTGTACGCTGCTCTGCAGCAGTAGTAGTGTCGTGTAACTGTTGCACGGTGCTGCTGTTGCTGCACCCTTGACCCGACCTGCTGCCCTTCCCCGCCCCTCTCTCCGAACCACCTGCAACGGTAACCGCCGTGGCTGCGCCACCCAGCCGCGGTTGCCGCTGCTAAAACCATTTTTTTTTTTAAAAAAAATTTAATTTAAATAAAACAAAACATATTTTGTAAAATTAAATTAATGTTAATGTGGTCCAATTAATTTCAAAATTAAATCACATTCAATCTTGAAATTAGGGTTCTTCATGAAATTAATCCCCAATTTAATTTAACTCTTAAATTAAATAATTTGATCATGAAAAATTCATAATTTATCATGAAATCAAATAGATTAAAATCATTAATTACATAGTAAACGAATTAAATCAAAACCAAAACACAAAACTTTACAAATTAGGGTTTAGGGTTTCGAAATTTTCGAAAAAATAGGGGCAAATTCGGATCTCTTCATGGCTATTTTGAGCATTATTAAATCACATTTAATCAATTCCAAGAGTTAAATCACATTTAATATAATAATTGACCCATAATTAAATTATTCTCCCTCCTTATTGAATTAAAATTGTGGACTATCAAAGAATTATAGTCAATATGCGTAAATGCAATAGGCTAACTAATACCACTGTAGGGAATTATAGGTACTACGCAGCGGAAATAAACATGAATCACATTCATAGAGTACCTAATCCCAAGATCTAATGCATAACACATAAAGAACATATAATCGTACCTTTGAAGCGTGATTCCACGTGCGATCGAGCAAGAACAATGGGAGATAAAGAACTCCAAGCGTGATTCCTCTACTTAGTCCATGGGCACTGATTAAACCTCCACTAATGCTAGTTAGTCATGATTGAACGGTTCAATCAACCTTAAACGGAGAAAAGCGAGCAACGAACCAACCACGAACCACCACACGCGCCACCAAGGGTGGCTGGTCGTGAGTCCAAAGGGGAAGGAGAGGGAGCCGTGAATTATAGAGGGAATTAGGGTTTTGGGATTGGTTGCCTTGATGTCAAAATTCATTGTGTGTGAATTATGACTTCTTACTTGCAACCCTAGGCATGGATCTTATTTATAGATCTCATCTCTAAATAAGAGCCCATATCAAAAGCCCAAAACCTAATTCCAATCTAACTATGCTAGCCCAATCCATTTCATGATTAGTTACATGCTCATGAGGCCCATTAATGAGACTCTAACTTGCTTAACCCAATACTCTTGTGTGTGACCTCATAGGATTCATTCTATTGGGCTTTAGACTATTTATCTAGCCCAAAGATCATTTGTCATGTCTAGCAACAAACAATGACGACCCAAAAGAACGAACTTATTATCTCCATAATAGTGATCCTTGATATATCTAGTAATTGCACTTATCGAAGACATAAATCCTTTAGTTTCGGTGGTCTAAATTCGGTGGAGCTAGCTGTTGTGTGAGTGGGGGTTGCGTGGTGGTTACGATGGTTCTGTGTCGGTGAGTTTGGGTTGCGTGGTATGAGTTCGGTGGTCTGAGTTCGGTGAGTGGGGGTTGTGTGAGTGTTGGTGGTTCGTGGGGTGGTGTGGTGGTTCATCGCCGCCATGAGTGGTGGTAGTTCTCCTTTGCTTAATTGTGTTTTTTTTAATTTGGATTAATTATCCTTTCTCTCTCCTCCTAATTTTCAATAATCTAGTTTAAGAAGTTTTGCCTAGCAGCAAAAAGTGGGTTTGGTGCAGATAACCCTGGGCGGAGGTAGTAATAGAAATCGAAAAGACAAGAAAAGAAGAAAGATCAAGTTGTTTGACCTAGTTAGCATAATTAAACCTATATCACATCTAAACCTTATTAGATATAAATCTAGATTTATTTTTCCAAAAAAAAAAATTAGATCTTTATAGATTCTTTAATAATATAGCTGATTTAATTATTTACAAACAATAATAATAATAATAATAACAATAACAATAATTTACAAGGAAATAGAAGTAATTGCCTCCACAAAGAGATTAATTATTATTGAACCACTAAAATAAGAAAATGTTGTTGTAAACTAGGCCTTTGCTTCTTGTTCTTCTAATTATCAACATCTAATACACATAAATACTAGTTTTTTTTTTTTAATTTTTTATATATTTTTTCTTCTTTGGCCTCATTGTAAACAATTTTAATATGAACATCTCACATAAACCCCCAAAATAAAACGGAAAAATAAAATAAAATAAAAAAAAAGCAGTAAAATAAAAGTTTTCTAACAGCTATTTTCTACTCTGAGAGTATTAGAATTAGATCTTCTTCCTTCCTCCATTAAAGAAGCTCGAGCTAACATTATACCTTGAGGAACCAATGATGTATCAAATGCTGAACAATCAATCCAATCTTTCATGAAATCTTCTTGACCCCACATATCTGGTATCCATACTTGCCCTGCTACTTCTCTTCTATGCCTCTTCAATCTCTCTCTTGGCCCTAAAACTCCCCCATTATTACTATGATCACCACTTGTCTTCTCCTTTTGTTCTTCCTCATGTTTCCCGCCACTTTCGCTTTCACGGGTATTCGTCGATTTCCCCTCTTCTTCTTCTTCTTCTTCTTCTTCTTCTTCTTCTTCACTATTGCCTTCATTCGGCTGCTTTTGCTGTTGTTGTTGTAGTTGTTGTTGTGGTAGTTGATCATCAAGCTCGGGCGAGGTGAGCCCGGGTTTTTCTTGAACTAATGAGAAAGTGGGTATTTGATGAGATTCTTGAATTTGCATTGTGGGTTTTAATTCTTCCATTGATTTCATAAATTCGGGGTGCTCTGTTTTTATAATAACAAATCCTCTGTTTTTGATCAGATTTTATTTATTTTGTATGGAATAGAGGAGAAGAATGAAAGTGTGAGGGAGAATAAAAGGAAATGAGAGGAGAGAAAGGAGTAAATATAAGCGGGGGTGTTAGTTTACACGTCATTCCAAAACATTGTTTCTTTTTTGTATGGCAAGTGACATTTTTACGTGTCTTCTTTTAGATTTGTGGGATTCTAATTTGTGTGGTTTAGTTCAAGTTTTACAAAACTAAAAGGGCCCAAAATAAAGGGAAATTTGAAAAATAATTGAAATTAATAAATATAAATATAAATATAAATAAGAAAAAGAAAAATAAAAGAGAGGTGTTAAGCAAATGGGGTTGCTTTGCATGGGATTTTTGGAGGGATTGTGAGGTTGATGTTGATTTTAGTATTGTGGGGGGTACGGTTGTTGGTTAAGCTAAGTCAAGTGGGGATTGATTTTTAGAGGCTATTGTTCCAATAGGGTTTTAGGATTTGATTTTGTGAAGGGCACATTTGGAATTTAATTCCATCGTAGAATTAATGTGATTTAGATGACTTTGGTTGAATGGAGGAAATATCAAGCACCAACCAGCCTACAATTTTTCTCACATTAATGTAAATGATGTAACATTGCTGTAAACTCGACTTTGTATGCAAATAATGAAATACTCCGTAATTAATCAACTCTTTGTGAGGGATACATTGTTTGTGATGTCATTGCAACAAGATCTATACTCAATATAGTTTATATGAGTAAATTATACCGTAATACATAGTAGATGAGATTTGTACATTCAAATTTGTAACTTAATTTATCAAATATTTGAGTAAAGAAAGTTGCTTGGAGCAGTGTACATACTTTTAGATACACTTGTATGTAAATGAATTTAAGTTGTGTGAATGAAGTTTCATTAATCCCATTGTAGAATTAATGTGATTTGGATGGCTTTGCTTGGATGGAGGATAGATTCAATTCAACAAGTTGATCTTGATCTAAACCAGCCTCTAGCTTTTCAAACTTTAATACATATGATGTAATGTTGCTGTTAAATCAACCTAAAAATGCTTATAATTTGCTCCTTCATGTACTATAGGAATGTGTTGGGGGTTACATTGTTTCTGGTGTCATTACAACAAGATCAATACTCAGTATAGCTTATAAATAATAATAACATATTAGTTTCATACATTCAAATTTGTAACTTGGTTTATTAAATTACTAAGAAAATTGTTTTGAGTAGTTTACATGCTTTTGGATATTCTTGTGTATAAAATGAATTTAAGTTTTGTGGATGAAGTTTTCATTAACTCCATCGTAGAATAAATATGATTTGGATGGCTTTGGTTGAATGGAGGACGTATTCAAGTAGATCTCGACCTAAACCGGCCTATTAATTTTCTCACTTTAATACATATGATGTAATGTTGCTGTAATACCGACCTAAATACGAATAATCAACTTATCCAAGTACACTAGAGATCTGTTAGGATTACATTGTTTGTGGTGTCATCGCAACAAGATTAATTCTCGGTATAATTTATATATAATAATAGATGAGATCCATACATTTAAATTTGTAACTCAATATGTATATGATACATCAAATGAATTAAAAATAGCTTTGAATAGTGTACATACTTTTAGATACACTTATGTGTAAAATAAACTCCATAATTATCGGAATGTATATCATTAAACAATATATTTAGGGAATTAGGGTTGCAATAACATGCACGCACGACAATAATCTTTACATACTCCAATCCGTATAATATAATTTATATATACGTATAAGTGGAATATTCGAGTAATATTCTCTATAAAATAAAACACGGAAGATTATAAGATATTTGGACGAAAGATGTATATATGGATTCATTCTCCAACTTTACGCCAGTTGTAATTTTTGTTCAAGTTCGTTCTTTGATCCTGATTCAAGTTGTTTTCGTGAACATAGAAATTTCAAAACTATTCCTTAACTGGCTGATGAAGCCCCACGCTCAAAACTCCAAGTCCAAACAAATAAAATAGAGATTTTCCTAAAGATTGAATGATGATGCAGAGAGCTTGGATATATACCATACATGAATTATAGTCATAGTATTTGATGACCAAATTAATGTAATAAAATGGTCGTTGTTTGTTGGTGTACTTTGTAACGGGTGGTATATGTTGCTGTCACATGTGTAATTCATCAGCCATGCAAATGGGTGTTTAGTATTTGTTTAATATCATAGCAGCCGATGTAGCGATCAAGTGGAAGGGAGCTATTCCATGGTTTATAACTTCATACCACCCAACCACATGATTAGGCATAGGCGCATCGCTAGCCGTATGCCATTTTTGCGATATTTCCTCTGTCCACAAATAATTCGCAAATGATTAATTTTTCTGTGTTTCTTTTTAGAATGTTCATACAGAATAAGAAATTTGTAATTTTTTTTATAAATTTTACATTTTATGCTTAACTTAATTATTTTATATGGATCCTCATCACTATCTTTCTTACTTTCTATCTCCCATAATCTTACTACAATGTATTGTACCCTAATAAATTTCATAATATGTATGTTAAAAAAATCACAGAAAGATTATTTGTAGATGTAAGGAATAATTTCAAGCCTTTAAATCCCACTAGCTTGAACCCCACTGTGATCATACACTAAAGTACGGTGGCGTCCAAAAGGGAAGAAGATAGAAAAGAGTCGCCAACAAGTTTTTAAGGAACTTGTAAACCGTTCACGAGGTGAAGGTTACACCCCTTAACGATCCAAGAGATCGTCAACTCCATAAGGTCATGAACCAAATAAGGGTTCGGGAATGAAGGTACAAATCCAACCTAAAAGAGATTGAATCTGCCCTAATAATAGGCCTCTACTTTATTCTACTCGTATTCATGTTCACTTTCTGACTAACATGCAATCAATAGGATTAACCCTAAACCTTTTTATCTATGTTGGTTGAATTTAATGCACAAATAAATCTATTATTGGCGATCACTTGAAATTATAATCAAAGTTAACCTTAAACAAGATTATTAATTATCTCATTAAGCGTGATTACAAGTACTAATTCCCTTTAAACATGCATAAAGGTGTGATCAAGCAATAAAGAATAAATATCAAGCAACATCATAACAATAATAATAATCATAAATAAAATAATCATCAATAATAATAATAATAATAATAATAATAATAATAAATTATAACAATTATAATCATAATCATGTTCATGTTAATATTAAAGCATAATAAAAATAGCCAGATCCTAGGCATGATACTAACAAGATTAATAACAAACCCTAGCATGTCACTAAACAATAAAAATCAAATCTTTAACCCTAACATGATACTAACAATCATAAATATTAGGAAGAACATAGGAAGTATCGTAACAATCATATTTAATATATTTGATATTATAACCTTTTCCCTAAACATGATACTAGGAATATCATAATAACAATATAAACATGATTTCTACATCATAATATCAATTAATCAATTAAAGTACTTACTTTGATGCTTCGTACCTCTTTCTAATAACAAAATACACACGTTAGTAACTTCAAGGAAAATAATAATCAAAACAATTAAATTAAATAATTGAAAGAGAGATTTGGGACCAAACCCTCAAAAATTAAAACCTTTCACGTCTAGGGCGAAGGCAACTTCGAATATGGCTAGGTGTTTCTAGATCTTGTGAATGCGGAATTTTGTATGAGAACACAAAGTTTTGGGAAAGATGAATGAAAGAGATGAATGATTAAGAGATTTAAAGAATGCTAATGAATGAATGATTTAACTTGCGAATGAGGAGAATTAGTGAATGAAAGATGTAGATGCTCTATCAAAACGGAGTTTTTAAATACGATATTTATAGAGAAAATCAGCCAAAAAAGATAAATTAACAAAACAGAGTCTGACGCTCAGGAAACAGAGCTGGCGCCAACCCTGGCTAGCTGGCGCCAGGCACCAGCACTAGCGCCAGGCGCCAATGGCTAGCGCCAGGCGCAAGCCTGGTTTCAGGCGCCAAGGCCTGGGGTTGGACGCCAAGCTTGATTTCGACGCGTTTTCGAAAATTTGATAAATTTACCGTAATGGAGGATAAAATAATATAATTTCTTCGAAAATGCTATTTGATTTTAATTAAAACTCTGAAAAGTCAACAAAGTCAACTTATCAATGCTAATTGAATTAGGAACTAAAAGAACCTTCTAGAAGAATCTAGAAGACTAAAACCATTCCTAATTGCATTAGGAATGATAAGTCATATTAGGCCCTCCCCTAGATCATTGGGCCGCATATAAAGCTCAAACCGGGCCTAGTTTGGTAAATTGGCCATAACTTCCTCAATATTCATCGGAATTGGGCTTATAATATATCATCAGAAAGGTCTTTGCAAGCCCCATCCAACTACACCATTATTGGACCCATATCATGGAACAACCAAACTGGATTGGCTGTTTTCTTAAAATAAAGTTTTCAAAAACAGAAAGAAGAGAAAAGAAATAAAAACTTTCCGCAACACTAGACCTTTCCACACTTTCGTTTAATTCGATTATGATTCGACGTGAAAGGTACTCATCACCGGGTTTGGTTTTGGGGAGACACAAATGGGTGTCTACAGAAGCCCCCACTTTGACTGAGTTTGGAGAAACGCAAGTTTCGGAAACAAAAGTCAAAGTATCGATAGGGACGGAGAATGCTTCAGAACGTTCTGCGATCCTAAATCAATCTTGTAACGCCGATACCTGCAAAACTAGCGTTAGTTAAACAGATAAAAGATTTAAGAAACGCGTATCTTGCATCGTCGAGCACACGTCTCCGAAAGTAACCGATTGTTTTGATGACCTCCTGCAAGCTAGAGAATGTCATCCCGCTTGAAAACCGCTACGCCTGTAACTGCTTCCAAATTAGAATATTGCTTCGAAACGATCCTCCTCCGCTTTGATAATATTCCACAACCAAGGGAATACTATCGAAGATTATTTCTCTTGAAACAATCCTCAGTTGTTTGCGACAACTCTCCACAATCTAGGGAACGCCACCTTACTGTTTCGATGTTCACTCGTCTCTGAACAAAGAGCTTCTTTTTGATATGTTCAATTTCCGCTGTGATAGTCTTCGAAAAGATCACTGCTTGTTAATCCTTCATGCTGCCATGCTAGTACGTCGGCGCTTTGCTGCTTGTGAACTAGTATGTCGGTGCTTTTGCTGTGATGACAATTCTCTTTTCTTT